CAGATGCGCATAATTAAAGCGCAATATGTTGAACAAGAATCTGCAGGAAGCCCCCTTTAAATGGATCTGACAGACAGATGGGACCAGGATCCTTCCTCTGGATACAAGCCTCCTCTGCAGCCACGCTTCCACTGGGGTCCTAGGATCACAGTCCAATTTTTACGCCACCAACACCCATAGAGTACATGGTCAAAATGGCAACAAATTATGCACTGATTTGCATGTTCATGAGGGAAGTAAGTATTCGACCCCCTTCACAAAACATGACTTAGTACTTGGTGGCAAATGCCTTGTCGACAATCGCAGAGGTCAGACGTTTCCTGTAGTTGGCCACCAGGTTTGCACACATCTCAGGAGAGATTTTGGCCCACTCCTCTTGGCAGATCCTCTCCAAGTCATAAAGGTTTAGTGGCTGACGTTTGGCAACTCGAACTTTCAGCTCCCTCCACAGATTTTCAATCGGATTAAGGTCTGGAGACTGGCTAGGTCACTCCAGGACCTTAATGTACTTCTTCTTGAACCACTCCTTTGTTGCCTTGGCCGTCTGTTTTGAGTCATTGTCATCCTCGAACACCCATCCACAACCCATTTTCAATGCCCTGGCTGAGGGAAGAAGGTTCTCACCCAAGATTTGACAGTACATTGCCCCGTCCATTGTCCATTTGATGCGGTGTAGTTGTCCTGTCCCCTTAGCAGAAAAACACCCCCAAAGCAGAATGTTTCCACTACGTTTGACAGTTGGGATGGTGTTCTTGGGGTCATAGGCAGCATTCCTCCTCCTCCAAACACGGCGAGTTGAGTTGATGCCAAAGAGCTCAATTTTCGTCTCATCTGACCACCACACTATCAACCAGTCCTCCTCTGCATCATTCAGATGTTCAGTGGCAAACTTCAGACAGGCCTGGACATGTGCTTTCTTGAGCACAGGGACCTTTGCGGGCACTGCAGGATCTTAATTCTTGTCGGTGTAGTGTGTTACCAATTGTTTTCTTGGTGACTGTGGTCCCAGCTGCCTGGAAATCATTGACAAGATCCTCACGTGTAGTTCTGGGATGATTTTTCACTGTCTCATGATCATTAACACTCCAAAAGGTGAGATCTTGCATGGTGCACCAGGCCTAGGGAGATTGACAGTTGTTTTGTGTTTCTTCCATTTGCGAATGATTGCACCAACTGTTGTCACCTTCTCACCAAGCTGCTTGGCGATAGTTTTGTGGCCCAGTCCAGCCTTGTGTAGGTCTACAATCTTGTCCCTCACATCCTTGGACAGTTCTTTGGTCTTTGCCATGGTGGAGAGTTTGGAATCTGATTGCTCCCGTGGACAGGTGTCTTTTATACAGGTAACAAAATGAGATTAGCAGCACTCCCTTTAACCACCTCCCGTCCGTTGTATATAAACAGCCAGATGGTGGCAGTAAAGGGGCGGGTGGCTGTTTATAAAAAGCCTCCCTGTCCCCTGCTTGTGCGCACTCCCTGGGAGCACGCAGCACTGCAATCCGGTGCCCGCTGTGTCCTCCGGAACACAGTGGAACACCGATCGTTGTACGGGACCTCTGTGCGAGGTCCCCGATCATGTGATCACTGATTGGCCAATCAGTGATCACATGTAGAGCAGTAAGCAAGATGTCACTTCTGACATCATTGCTTACTATGTGTGAAATCTGTGAATGATCACAGAGGTCACATGGTACAAGACTATTCACAACAGCCTTGTGCCATGTGACAAGCTGTGACCAATCACAGCTCACACAGTATTTCTCAATGGCTGCAAGAATGCAGCCAGAGAGAAGGATAAATGATTGCTTTTACAGCCTTTATGTCAGGAATGGACTTGCCAGTAATGGTGGGACTCACCTGCCTTGTGGGCTGCAGTACCAGGGCTGGCCAGCGGGTGCTCCCAGCAATCAGAGACTCAACCCTGCAGCCAGCCAAACACCTGAAGCTGATTATGCAGGTGTATTTAAGGGATGGCCAGACCTGCAGTCTGCGCCTTGGTGTGTGTTTTCCATGGGCCCCTGTACCTTGTAAACCTGTGTTCCTGTTTCCTGTGTTCCTGTAGTGCGTTCCTTGTTGCCGACCCTGCCTGTTCTGATCCATGCTGACATTCTCCTGCTCTGACCCCCGGCTCGTCCCTGACCATCCTTCTGCCTGATCCTCTGTACCGTGCTGCCCGTGAGTTACTGAACCCGGCGTGTGACCTGACTACCCTTGTCTGCTGCTTGTACCGTGCCTGTCCCCACCGTTACTGACCAGGCTAGTCTGACCACGTCGCTCCTGACTGTCATCCATCCCGCTCGGACCTGGACCTGCCAGCACTCTCTACCACAGCCGGACGCACTCAGGGGTCGCGACCTTGTTCCAGTCTGCACCAAGTCCATCCCCACCATCAGGGGCCCTGGTGAATAGCAGGCTGGGACTTAGACCCCGCGCCCTGAGGAAATCCGTGCTGTGGGCTTGGCCTGCCTGACCATTCCACCTCTCCAGCCCTGACTGCACTGTGTACCTATTGGTTTGTTTGTTTGTTTGCTCTGTGTACCTATTAGCTTAAGGTTAGCTTGTTTGCATTGTGTTTGTTTATTTGTGCAGCTGATAATAAATATTATTATTATAACATATCTGAAGCCTGCGTTTCCCTGCGTCAGTTCACATACCTCTGGTCACACCCTGGAGCCCTGACACTTTATGGGTATAAAAGCAATCAGTGTAAAAAAGAAAATCTTCATCACCCCCCACAAGTAGTACAGTGTCACCATGGTGACACTGCACTGCTAGGGTGACAGTATGTAAAATTAAAAAACTTAAATAATAATATAAAAAAATAAAAATGTTAAATTTTTTAATTAAAAAAATTATAATTTTTGGTTCTAAACTAATTTGGGTTATTTTTTTTACTAAAAGATAACTGAATACATTTTGGCCAAGATTTATGATTAAATATTATCTATTTGCAAATTTTATAAGACAAACTTTTTTCAAAATGTTTGGACTTTTTCTTTTATATAGCAAAAAAAAATAAAAATCCCAGTGGTGAATAAATACCACCAAAATAAAGCTTTATCTGAACAGTCTTGCATGATCGTGCAATTGCCATTCAAAGTGTGATAGCGCTGAAAGCTGAAAATTGGCCTGGACAGGAAGGGGGTAAAAGTGTCCGGACTTGAAGTGCTTAAGAGACTGCTTCTAATCTCAGCTTGTTACCTGTATGAAAGCCACCTGGTAGCCAGAAATCCTGCTGAATGAAAGGGGATCAAATACTCATGTCCCTCATAAACATGCAAATCAGTGAATAATTTGTTAGACATGCATTTCTTTCAAAGTTTTTGTTGCTATTCTGTCACTCAGTGTTACAATACACCTACCATTTGATTTTTAGACTGATCATTTCTTTATGAGTGGGCAAATATTCAAAATCAGCAGGGGATCAAATACTTATTTCCTTCACTGTACGTCTGACTGGTTTCTAGGGGCATCATCACTGTCTTCACCCTCTGCGCCTTTAGGTTTTAACACATTAGTAAAGACTCAGAAAAGACTCTTGTCAAATTCAACATGAGATTTGTGAAGAACAAAAAAAAAATTATTCAATATACAGAGCATGTATTCCTCTGCTTTTACGGTCTCCTTATATTAAAGTAGAACTATAGGCAAAACATTTTTTTTTATTTTGGATACAAAAAGGGAAGGTTATAACCCCAGTCATTTTTTTCCATCTCAGTCCTATTGGGGAGATTTACCTTCACTTCCCATAGCCAAAATAAGAAGAAACAAATTAAGGGAATCTCATGGGTCTTTCCCAGGTCACCAGAACTAGTATCCACCAGAACCACCAGGTCACCAGAACCACTGGCAGATTTCCCCTCTATTATTGTTTTGGGGGCAACCCAAATTTTTGGATTTTCTTTTACTTTCAATTTCAACGATAATAATAAACAGGACAAATAGAGAAGGTTAATCTCCCTAATAGGGGCAGAGGTAGCAACAAAAAACTGAAAGGTATTCTAATCCATTTCCATACTTTAAAGCAGAGCTCCACCCAAAAGGGGAAGTTCCGCTTTAAGGACTGCTCCCCCTCCCCATTTAGGATTGGCACCTTTGGGGGGCAGGTACCTGATTTGACAGGCACCCGCTCCCACTTCCGGTCCGATTGCCTAGGCGATCGGAAGTGGAAGGTGTCCTCCCTCCCTGTAGTCTTTTGTGACATGTGAAGACTACAGGACCATTCATGAAGCGTAGCGCTACTCGCACATGCGCAGTGGGTTCCCGGCTGTGAAGCCGCAAGCTATCACAGCCGTGTGCCCACACTGAAGATGCCTGCCTCCTGGAATACAGGACGGCCGGTGAAACGGGCTGCGGGGGACATACCGCGGGACCGAGGGACAGGTAAGTGGCTGTTTTTGTAGCTGCTGACTTTTATTTTTTGACAGGGTGAGTGGAACTCTGCTTTAACAATGAAATCCAGTTTCAATTAAAATATGTAAATAAGCCATTCTCTAGTACTATATTCCCACATATCACAATACATTTGTTTCAGTCCCGTTCATTACATTGCATTGGGGCAAGTGAGTTTTTTCCTGGTTTAATTTTGAGGAGTTATGATGTGCAGACAAGGATTGGCGACATCCAAAGTATGTCAAATTCAGCATGCGTAACCTGACGGCACTACATAAGTACCTGAAATAAATAATAAATAAACATGTGTTCCTATTCAAAAATTCTTTCTATTCTTGTAGTAGTAACAACTCATTCTGTCCCTCACTCTCAGTCCCAGGGACAATGGTCACCATGACAAAGCGAGAAGGTAAATCTCTTCAGCAGGGACACACAAAGCAATAAAAACCTGACACTTCACTATCCAAAACAAAAAAAATGGCTTTGGATACACCTTAAGAACAACAAATTATAGTTTTTTATTACATGGCAATTAAAATTATATTAGTGTTAATTCATGTGCCCATTTTTGTTTCAAGATCTGCTTAGTTCTTTTGCAAAATTGACCTTACCATGTTTGGGTCATGGCCCAGGGAGAAGAGGTATGGTTTCTCTTGTAAAACAGCCTGCTGCCACTCAGAATCTGAAACCAAACCAATGTACCAATCATTGTCATACTCGTCAAGGTAATTAAGAAGCTCCTTGAAATCTTCTACTGGCCCCAGACTTGCTTTATCAACCATGAGCTTAAATGTATACCTGCAAGATAAGTTCACAGATGTATAAATTATATAAAATTTCAAATGTATTGCGAGGCTTAAAGAGACTTTGGCATATTACGTGACCAGGCTTTCCAATTCTCAGCACTTTTTTTTGCTCTTTGTCGTCAGTGGTACTTCACTACTTTGACAGCATCAAAGTAAGTAGGGCATAATGCACTTTTATAAGCACAATGCTGTGCAGCCCTTGGTGCTGAGTGCTTTTCAGTGAAAGATCACATTCTGTTCTTTGCTTCTGATATCTAGTTGATGGTGGGAGTACACATTGTTCCCTTACATAATCCATAAAATTACATGACATGTTGACCTACAACAACAACTTAGCGTTCCTTTCAGCTAATTTTTTTAATTTACCACTATGATTTGTAAAAAATAAATCCAAATTTTACCTGAATGCTTTGAGTGCAAGCTGAAATAGTTCTGGATTTCCAGTTAACCAATCCAAAGAAATAGACCATGGAATCCCACCTAAATATGCTCGAAACAACCAGGCAGAACTAGGAGATGAGTTTTCCATACCAAAAAAGGCATAATAAATAGACGTCAATCCTTGAATATACAAGTCTCTTAGTGAACTGTCCCTGATACCCTCCTCGAGAAGAGCAGAGGGCTTCTCACTTAAATGATGAAAATCTAACTGAGTCAAAACAAACTCATACCACTCTGTTGGAAACATCTGTTTCATTTCTCTCATTTTTAAATTTAACAAAGAGACAAATATCCATTCTTGAGGTATACTGAGAAACTTTGAGTAAGAGGAATTGAATTCTACCATTTTGAAATGTTCAATATGAGTTTTTTGTTTCCTCGGTCAGTTGCAGGAAGACCAAATCCTACTACAGAATACAGTTTATCTACTGCTACATCTTGCTCCACATGAGCATCGATATGTGTCTGGACACTGCCGGGGATGGAAAACCCACCACTGGCTGCAGCTATGACTGGTTTAATTCCAGAAGTCTTTGGATGTGGAAGAATTTCGAAGATGTCATCATCAGACCACTCATCACCAAGTTCTTCATGAAAACTTTCCAGATCCTTTGATGACTCTTTGTGCTCTATACGATGTGGACCAACCAATTCTTGGTGTCTCCCTGACAGGCTCAGCTCCTTCTCTTTGCTTTGTTCTGTGTGTTTGCCTTCTTGCACTTTTGATTTTTTGTAGCAAGTCTGAATAAGCACCCACAAAAGCACTCTAATGAAATCGTCTTTGAATTGTTTCAGGTTTTCATGTGAATCAATTATACCAGACAAAACGTTCCGGGCATCAGAGTACACTCTGACTGGGACAACAGTGCATGGCGTTAAGACGTTCCCAAAATGGTTGTTGAAGGCAAAACGACTAGTATTTTCTGCCTGCTCAAAGGCCATTTCAAAAACTTCATCCACTCTCCGAGCTTCGGCTGTATGACAAGAGGTCTCCTGCAACTCTAATCCCTAAGACAGACAAAGAATGTCAAAATCACATCCCCACCAACAAATCAATAAAATAAGCTAGAGATTATGATAAAAATAGGTCAAATTTAAAAATGTTGCATTTAAAGTTTTCAGGCAACTCAGCATCTAGGGGATGAGTGCCTCTAAACCAATCCTGGCATTGATTATATAAAACTGGCTGTCATACACAGTAAATTCATATGGCTGTGAATATCTAGTTTCTGTATGGCCCTGATCCCGAAAAAAAAAAAAGTTTGCATGCTCTCTTCTGTAGTTCTCAGAGAAGGATATTAAAGGGATCTTGTCCTGTGACAAGATCCCACAGCCCTGCCTAGAAGCACCGTGAAAAACCTTTTACATGTGGATGAAATGAATTAAAAAACTATCTGATCAAAGGTAAACTAAGTAGACCTTTCTGATTTAAAGACAGGCAGCTGAATACACAGTTATTATTACATTACATTGAGTTTATATAGCGCCAAAGGGTTTGCTCAGCGCTGTACAATAGAGGGGGGGACAATACATGAAACATTACAGCAGCTACGAACAGCACACGAGGGGTAAGAGGGCCCTACTCTTTCGAGCTTACAATCTGGGAGGGAGGGGGTAGTGGTACAGGAGGAAGTGGCTGTGGGGGATGGAGTGGTAGGAGGAATGAAGGAGAGCAGCAGTTAGGTGAGGGTGGGGTAGGCTTCCCTGAAGAGGTGGGTTTTCAGGTTGAAATGCAAGTGTGCAAGTTATTTTTCCTGTCAAAGGATTTGTAATTACAACAGTCTAAAGATCTAGGTACCCCTTTCTACACACTGTAATCAGGTTCTGAACCTCCCTGTCCACTACACTATATTTAAGCAATATAGGCAGGTGAAAGACTCACCCAAGCTTGCAACTGAGCAGTGACATAGGGGCAGAACACCAATGAGGTCATTTCAACACCAATGAGGCCACTGCTCTGCCTTCTGCAAGCATGTGGACTAGACCATTTAAAAGAAAAGTATAATCCTTTATCAATTTAGTTTTATTAATACATACACTTAATAATAAAGAGATGCTTTGGAACTTTGAACACATACCTCCCTGTAATAATGTTTAGTTATTTAAGTGTAATGCCCATCAAAATAACTTTAAATAGATGGGTTAGGAAAGGGTTAAGATTTTCATTCTGTTTTCACTAGTGTTTGAGACATCATTTAGGAAACGTTCCCTCTTTTTATGTCCTGGTGACAATCTTTAACCAAAAAAAAATAAAAAAAATACATATACGGTACATTTTATTAAAATAAACCAATTTATATTACACCATTTATTGTTTTAGAACTGAACATAATATTTAAATTTAGAAAGAATATACAGTACTGTACAAAAGTTTTAGGAACGTGTTAAAAATATATATTTTAATTGTTTATTTGTATTAATTTACAAAATAAGATCAATATTTGGTGTGACTAACCTTTAGCTTCAAACCAGCATCAATTCTTACACTTGTACACTTGCATGAAGCTAGGGATTTTGTAGGATTAGGGTCAGGTGTATGATGAACCAATTATACCAAGCAGATGCTTATAATCATCCATTTCATAAGTAGGTTGGAACACAGTCATTAACTGAAACAGAAACAGCTATGAAGGAGGCTTAAAACTGAGTGAGAAACAGCCAAACTCTGCTACTAAGGGGAGGTTATGGAAGTCAGTTTCATGTCACAAGTCATACACCATGGTACAACTGAGCACAGCAACAAGACACAAGGTAGTTATACTTAGCAAGGTAAAGATTTCAAAACAAACAGGGGTTTTGAGATTTGCCATTCAAGCTGATTTGAAGAAGCACAAAGAAACGTGCAACGCTGAGGACCATAGACATAGTGATCAGCCAAGGAAACTTAATGCAGCAGATGAAAGACACATAATGCTTACTCCCCCTTCAACATCAGATGTCAAGCAGTGCCATCAGCACAGAACTTGTGGAAACCAGTGGCACCCAGGTATACATCTACTGTCCAAAGACGTCTCTCCAGAAGTGGTCTTCATGGAAGAATTGCCGCCAAAATGCCATATCTGGTAACAAGGCAAAGTGACTCAACTATGCATGAAAACATAGGAACTGGGGTGCAGAAAAATGGCAGCAGGTGCTCTGGAGTGATGAGTCAAAATTTTTAAAAACCTGGCTGTAGCAGGAGGCAGTTTGTTTGCCAAAGGGCTAGAGAGCAGTACAATAATGGGTGTCTGCAGGCAACAGTGAAGCATGGTGGAAGTTCCTTGCAAGTTTGGAGCTGTATTTCTGCAAATGGGAGTTGGAGATTTGGTCAGGATCAATGTCTTCCTGATCTCAACATCACCGAGCCTGTCTGAGATTAGAGACAGAAGGATCTGAGGCAGTCTACGTCAGTGTTTTTTTTTTCCAGTCAAGGTGCCCTTTAAAATTTTGCGCAATTTTGAGGCACCCCTTTCTAAAACGTGAAAACAAAACTAATAGTTTTACCTAACACAGTAACATCCACACATGTAAGACACCCAATGTTAGAGGTGATTTATTCTTTCAAAGCAAATACACCTTTGCACACTGTTACTGACAGCTTTTCTTTTCTCCCTCAGTTTCTCTCCTTCACTCAGCTAATGTTACCCCAGTGCTGACAGAGAGGGGTAAACAAAGATGTTGTGCAAGTGCCCAATGTCATACTTCTCAACAGATGATGTAATTGGTTGTTAGGAAGGGGGTGGAAGGTTGTACAGGTGCACAATGCAAACCTTTTAACTAAAAGGCAGGCTTCATCAACCTGCTGGCTTGTATACAGTTTTTGGAAAATTTTTAACCATTTTGCCAAGGCACCCCTGAAGGAACCTGAAGGCAAACCAGGGTGCCTTGGCACCCTGGTTGAAAAAGACTGGTCTACATCCATAGACAATCTGTGGTTGATTCTCCAAGATGTTTGGAAAAAACCTACCTGTCGAGTTCCTTCAAACACTGTGTACAAGTGCTCCTAGAATTGTTGCTGTTTTAAAGGCAAAGAGTATTCATGACTTTTTTTATTTTGTTGATAAAAATAAACTATTATTCCTTTCATCTGTGAACGCATTCTTAATTTACAGCATTTTTTGCACACCTGCCTAAATCTTTTGAACAGTAGTCTTTATCTTTTAAAAAGAGTTGGATGGGCTCAGCTTTCTAGCTACGCTGCTGCTAGAGCCAATTCATAATCATCAAACATTTACTATTCTGCTTTATAGCAGCGTTTTTCAACCACTGTGCCGCGGCACACTAGTGTGCCGTGAGATATTGTCTGGTGTGCCGTGGGAAAAATTGCAATTTCATCCGTAACATGTGGCCTCGGCTCACAAATAGACCAATCATTAGAACAGCAATGGGCAAACTACGGCCCGCGGGCCGTATACGGCCCGGTGGACCTTTTAATCCGGCCCGCGGAGCGTGACACTGTCAGGATGATCTGTCCCCCTCGACGTATCTGCGCATGTGCCGGAGATCGCCGATCGGCTGCTAATGCCTGAAACTGGCACATGCGCAGATACGTCGAGGGGGACAGATCCTCATAGGAGACAGATTTTCATGCTACACCGGAACGGCGAGAGGAACGCGCGGAGCAAAGGTAAGTGAATTGACACAGGGGGGGCTTGGGGACTTAATATGGGGGATGAATTAATATGGGGGATGAATTACTATAGGGGGGATGAATTACTATGGGGGATGAATTACTATATGGGGGATGAATTACTATGGGGGATTAATTACTATATGGGGGATGAATTACTATGGGGGATGAATTACTATGGGGGATGAATTACTATATGGGGGATGAATTACTATGAGTGATTAATTACTATATGGGGATGAAATACTATGGGGGATGAATTACTATGGGGGATGAATTACTAAATGGGGGATTAATTACTATGGGGGATGAATTACTATGGGGGATGAATTACTATGGGGGATTAATTACTATGGGGGATGAATTACTATGGGGGATGAATTACTATGGGGGATGAATTACTATATGGGGGATTAATTACTATATGGGGGATGAATTACTATGGGGGGTGAATTACTATATGGGGGATGAATTACTATGCTTACTATGGGGGAATACTACTATACTTACTATGGATGACACATACACATCATTCATCTACTCTTGGTCCGGCCCCCGGGTCCAATTATAAAATACTTTATTATTTCATAATAAAGTAATTATAAAATAATTTCTTTGTGTTTGATTCCTATTCAAGAGAATTACTTTATATATAGTCAATATAGGCACACAGGTAAATT